TTTTTTTGGGGTTATATTTATTAAATATCTCGATATATACACGTTAACATATATACACACACACACACACACGAATGCAAGAAGCAACAGTCAAAGAAAGCGAGATCTATATATTAAATATATAGAGGGTGTGTATATATATACACAAAAAAAAAACACAAAAGCAAACAAATAACCTGCAACAACACACAAATATAAATACCTATATGAAAAACAATTAAGTCAGAAAAGGAAGAAATAAAAGAAATGATGAAAAAAAATATAAACAAAACAAGAGGGGGAGAGACAGTAACACACAAGCTAGCGTGAAGCAGCGGAGGGTTGGGGTGTATAGGCAGGTGTATATATAAACAAAACGATGCTTTTAGGGTGTATTTTCTTCTTTTTTCGCAAAATTTTCGCTATTTATTCTTATTTATTTATTTATTTTATTCTTTTCTGGTTTTTTTTTATATTTAAACACATAAATACAAAGAAAACAACACCTGCTTCCTACCCGCGCGCGCTCACAAAGCTACAAAGCGATTCATACACCAATAGAAGCAGAATACAAAGATAAAAAAGAAAAAAAACAAAAATTATTTATTTTGTTTACTTTTATTTTTGTTTTTTATAAAAATAAAACAAAAAAATATTAATTTATCACACACATAAACCCTTTTACTCCAGAGAGCGATCAAGTGACCTCACGCCCGAGCACCCTATACACCGATATATATTTTTTCTCTCTTCTTGCTGCAACAATTTATTTATTTTATTTATTTTTTTATTTATTTTATTATTTTATTTATTTATTTAGTTTAAGTATAAATATAAAGCAAAAAAAAAACTTCTCTAGGGGCCTTTATATTACCCTATTTTCTCTCCCTGCACACACAGCTGTACATACACCAGGAGATGCACACCCCTTTGGGTTTATATTATAAATATACAGTATAAATACATTTTATATATTTAATAAATAAATAAATATATAAATAAATTTATTTAAAATATTTTTATTTTTTTATATTGAAAAAAAAACACACAAAACAACAAAACTCTATCTCTACACAAACAAGCAAACCCTAGTGCT